CGCCTTTTTGCACTACATGTACTGCATGTCCTGCACCATTCTTCCAAATCTCGCCTCATACCTATCCAGTAAAATCTTTGTCGTAGATGACTCAAAGTCTTCCTAATTCCGAGATGTCCTCCTGTTGAATTATCATGGCATTGATGCAGCAGAACTTCCCGTAACTTCCTCGGTATAACTGTTTGCCAAGTCATCACTTTCCCATCTCCGTACAAGAATACCATCTGCAAGCTTTGACTGGTCCCATTGTGCCCAATAGTGCTTTGTCACAGGGCTTAGACTAGACACCTTCACCCAAGCAGGGTGCAAAACACTTGCCTTTAGAAATCAATCATTGGCTTCAAATCTTGATCTTTCTCCTGTTCTGCTTTGATATCTATATTTGGTTCCATTTCATCATCATCAACTTCTTCAGTCACTTTGACTTCACCTTGATGGCATTTAGTTAGTTCAACCTCTCTCTTAACAGTTACCAGAACTTGGCCTTTGTTATTCCCAAACGTCATTTTATCAAAATCAATTACAAACTTCCTTGGTAGTAGATAGTCCAATCCCAATATGCATTCATCTTCAATGTCAGCCAAGTATACTTTCTGTCTGTCCTTTATGTCCATGAGCTCAATAGTTACCCACACTGGTCCCCACAACCTTGTAGAATGTCCCGTCACACCATAAAGCTTCTGTATGGCTTCTGGTACTCCTTCATGATCTAACACCTTGATGCTCACAAGGGTTTTGCTGAGACGCAGAGTTTATGACAAAGTTGCACCTTTGGCCATCTAGCTTTCCTGTCACATAGACGCTGTGTGTGCTTGGCATTTTACACCTAGCTGTTGGGACTTTCATGATGGGGGTTGGTGGGCGTCGCTCAACACTAATCACTACTGGTCTCCTTGAGGCTGACTTGCAGTTTTTATAGGCGTTTTTGCATTTTTTTACCACTACCTCACCTTTTATGGATGGATCTTCGGCAAAACTGTTATGGAGATTCATTGGCAAAAAGCAAAACTGAAGATTTGTATGTATTTCCCCAGATACATATCCG